AAATTTGATAAAAAAAAAATTAAATTAATTTAATTTATTTATTTATTTGATTATTTATTTATTTATTTATTTATTTATTTATTTATTTATTTATTTATTTTATATAAAAAACTTTATAGTCATGTTGAGAACTTTCTTTTTATTATTTTTTTATAATTTAATTTTTATTTATTTTAATTTTAATTTTAATTTTTATTTTTATTGAATATATAAAATTATATAAAATAACCATCACTTTAAATCATCCTATTTGTTTAATAATATGATGGGTATATATAAGAACAAAAAAAATTATAAAATAATAAATAATTATATTAATTAGTATTACATTTCTATAACTATATAATAATATCACTGAAAAAAAAAAAACACGACAAATTTTTGTGATGATTATTTATTTATAAATTTTTTTCTGATTTAATATAATGAATTAATAAATTTTTATTTTTTTTAATTAAATTTACTGAATAATATATATTTTATCCTAAAGTAAGAGATAGTATTTTTAAAAAAAAAAAAAAACAAATAAATACAAATATTTTTTAAATTCCTTTTATTTTTTTAAATTTAATTTTTTTTTATTAAATTATAAAAATATAAAATTAAAATTAAAAATGGTAAATTTGAAATTGAAATTATAATCCCATTGGAATAAAGATGAGGTACTTGATAATAGGGTTGAATTTAAAATTAAATAAAGTTACTTTACTTTGGATTATTTTTTCGCAGATGATAATTTTCTGGAATCATGCTTTTATAGAAAGTTGCACAGAAATGTCATCAAAACTATATAAAAGGGCTCGAAGATTTATCTGATGCCATAAAAAGAAATATTAGCGTAATTAAATCTTTAAAAAAAAAGGAAGATTGATGCTTATGTTTAAAATTTTTTTTTGTTAAAAATTTTTTTAAATTTTTCTAAATTTTTTTAATTTTTTATTTTTATATTAAAATTTAAAAATGGAGGGCAAAATAAATAATATTGTTAATATTTTAGCAGATAATATAATAAAGGAATACAATGGGAGTAAAAAAGATAGTAAATTTTTAGTGTCATTATCAGGACCACCAGGAGTAGGTAAAAGTACAATTTCAGAAAAACTAGTAGAAGAATTAAATAATAGATTATCAGATGACAAAAACAATAATAATAATAATAATAATAATAATAATAATAATAATAATAATAATAATATTGCAGCTATTGTAACAATGGATGGATATCATTTAGATAATAACATTTTAATTAAGAGAAATCTATTGCCCAGAAAGGGTTCACCACCAACTTTTGACTGTTTAGGGTTTTTAAATATTTTAGAAAGATTAAAGACCAATGATCAAGATGATGATATTTTCATACCAACATTCGATAGAGCCTTAGATAAATCAATTAATGCTTCATCTTTTATTAATAATAATAATAAACTATTAATTGTAGAAGGTAAGTAGTTTTTTAGTTATATAAAAAAAAATTTTTATAATATTTTACTTGTATAAATAAAAAGTAAATAGAAAATAAAATTGTAAAAAGTTTGTATATTGTTCTTGTTTAATTATTATTATTAGATTGTCTCTTAATCTTTAACATTTTCTTATATAGTATTTGTTTTTATTTTTTGTCATTTTTATAAAATTTTTTTTTTTTTGTAAAATTGAATGTGGTAGTGAAAAATTTATTATAAATATTTTTTTTATACTCTCTTTTTTTTATTTAATTTTTTACTAATTTCTCCCCTTTTTTTCATTTTATTCTAAATCTAATCAAATCTTTTATCTAGGAAACTATTTATTATTAAACGAAAAGTTATGGTGTAAATTAAAAGATTTATTTAACTATTCAATCTTCATAAATGCAAATATGGGCGATTTAGAGCAAAGACTCATAAAAAGATGGATAGATCATGATTATGATCTCGAGTCGGCCACCAAGAAAGCTCTTAATAACGATATACCAAATGCAAAGTTAGTATTAGAAAATTCAAATTTACAAAATGTATTTGTAATAGAAAATAATAATTAACATTACATTATAAACTACATAAAAAAAAATAAATAAAAAAAATAAAAAATTTAATCATAACATAAACTACTAATTTTTAAAACAGTTTTTTTTTTTTTTTTTTTTTTTTTTTTTTTTTTTTACCCAAAAAAATTTTTTTTTAATTTTAAAACATTTTCCTAAACAAAATTCTTTTAAATTAAAATTTGCTTAGGACCCAAAAAAAAAAATTTTAAAGAAAACCCTTTGGAAAAATTTGGAAAAATGGATTTTTTAAAACCCCCCCCCCTTTAGCGGAATTTAAAAAAAAAAAAGGGGGTATTTTATTAAAAAAAAAAAAAAAATTAAATTCCCTATCATCATGATGATTATTATTTTTTATATATAATAAACTAAATATGAAAAATTAAAAAAAAAAAAAAAACTAAATTACTATTACTACCATTTTTAACTACTACTAATAATTGCAATATTTTATCAATATAGCCAAATCATTGAAATCACATTATAATATTAACTGAAACTTTTATGGTTAAGAGATAAAACATGAATTTTATTTTTTTACACTGCTCCATTCAATAAAGATAGTGATAGTATTAAACGAAATTTCAGTCATCACACAAAAAACTATTAACACTTTAAACAATTATAAAAAAAACCTCTCAATGTAACAATAATTATTAAGGTATTGTTGTCATATAGTTTTAATAAATTATATCATCACACCTAAAAAAAAAAATTTTAACACATTAAACAATTATAAAAAATATAACCCCTCAATTTAACTCACAATAATAAATTATTTTTTAGTTCATCCCCTATTTTGTTTTTAAATTATTATATCTCAATTTTTTTTTTTTTAACAAAACACACCCACACCCCACGCCCACATAAAAAATACAATAAAATAATTACTTACACATCAACATACTACCGCCACCATATAATAGTAACTATTATTTTTTTTTATTTTTTTTTATTTTATTTTCAAGTTTCTCCTCAAACATAATTTTATTTAGTCGTGTGTTAAAAAATAGTGGTGTGTTTAAATAAATATATTCACTCCCCAATTTAAATTGATAATTTAATTTAAACCACTAATGTTTTAACCTATCCCCCAATTTATATGAGAAATAATATTAAAAAACGAATTATAATAAAATTTTTTATTATAACAATAATATGTAAAAGTATGAGTGAAATTCCAAAAAAAATATATTTTGTTACTGATTGAATTTTTTATTATCTTTTATGAGTTTGACAATAATGAATTTCTATCTGATCGATAATGTATATAAAAAGAATGTTAAAAGAAATTTTTTTACATATATGTATGGGGGTATAAAAAATAAAAATAGAAATAAAATAAATATTATTTTTTAACAATATAAAATAAAATTGAACACAAAAATATTCAAAACCCCACTACCATATATTCAGCCAGTTTATATATTAATATATAAAAAGTTTAAATGCTTTATACTTTATAAATTTTTTTTATGAATTAATAAAGAAAGTAGTGTGTTGTAATGATAAGAGAGAGTGTGGGTAATATATATATTTGATTTTTTATTTTATTGTTATAATTTTATTTTTTTGTGGTGGTAAAATTGTTGTTGTTATTATTATTATTATTGTTGTTAATGTTTTGATAACCTGTTAGCTCATATTATGATTTAAATTATAAATGGTGTTAATTAAAATATGCAAATATAGTACACATAAATGTACAATTAATATATAAATAATTAAAACTGTAATAGTTTAAACTATTATTGGAAATCATTTCAATATTAATTATAATACAGTCGGGTTATATTTTATTTAATTTTTTTAAATTTTTAATTTTGATTTATTTTTTTAAATTTGATTGTTTTGGTTTTAATATAAATATATTTTTTTTTTTTTTATAATTTCATCAAATCAATATTTATTAAAAGATTAAAAACAATAGTTTTTTCTTTACACTTTTAAAACTTTAAATTTATTTATTTAAATTTAATAATATTAAAAGAAAAAAAAAAGAATTATAATAATATTTATTTTATTTTAATTATTTTATTTACTTAATTTATTTATATTAATAAAAAAAAAACTAAAAAAAAAAAAAAAAAAAACATAATAATAATAAAAACCAAAACAATGATAAAAAATATAATATTTTTATTGTTCATTTTTACAATTTTATTTACTTTTGGTAAGTTAAATTAATTATTTTATGAAAAAAAAAAAAAAAAAAAAAAAAATTTAATTTTTTTTTTTTAAAAATTCTTAAAATCATTTATTAACCTTTTTTTATTTATAAAAATAGTAAAAACTGACACTGATGGTGGCTTAATGTGTGGTTGTGATGATGACTGTAAAGGAGCAAATAAATGTCAAACTGGTAAATGCTTATTAGGTTTCTGTTCTTATATTCCAATTTCGTGTGATGATGGAAATCCATGTAGTAAAGATAGTTGCGATTGTGATAAAGGTTGCCAACATGAATATGTAAACTGTGATGATAAAAATGCATGTACCCTTGATGAATGTACCGGAACTGGCTGTTGTCATACCCCAATTTCTTGTGATGATAAAAACCCATGTACCGTAGATTCATGTAATAACTCCACTGGCTGTGTAAATACCCCAATTTCTTGTGATGATAATAATGCCTGTACCTTTGATTCATGTGGTCCAAAAGGATGTATCCATACCCCAAAAGCATGTAACGATAATAATGCTTGTACCGTAGACTCTTGCTCAAACTCCACTGGTTGCTGCTTCACTCCACTTTCATGTGATGATAATAATCCATGTACCGTAGATTCATGTAACAATTCAACTGGTTGTTGCAACACACCAATTTCTTGTGACGATAACAACAAATGTACCTTTGATTCATGTGGTCCAAAAGGTTGTGTCCATTCCCCAATTTCTTGTGATGATAATAACCCATGCACCATTGACTCATGTTCAAACTCCACTGGCTGTTGCAATACCCCAATCTCTTGTGATGATAACAATGCTTGTACTGCTGACTCATGTGGTCCAAAAGGATGTATCCATACCCCAATCCCATGTAACGATAATAATGCCTGTACTGTAGACTCATGTTCAAATTCAACTGGTTGCTGCTTCACCCCACTTTCATGTGATGATAATAATCCATGTACCGTAGATTCATGTAACAATTCAACTGGTTGTTGCAATACTCCACTCAACTGTGATGATAATAATGCCTGTACTGCTGACTCTTGTGGACCAAAAGGTTGTGTAAATTCTAAATTATCATGTGACGATAATAACCCTTGTACTGCTGACTCTTGTAATCCAAAGACCGGTTGTGAAAATACCCCAATTTCTTGTGATGATCATAATGCCTGTACCTTTGATTCATGTGGACTAAAAGGTTGTGTCCATACCCAAATTTCTTGTGATGATAATAATCCATGTACTGTAGATTCATGTTCAAACTCTACTGGTTGTTGTAACACACCACTCAACTGTGATGATAATAATCCATGCACTGCCGACTCCTGTGGACCAAAAGGTTGTGTTAATACCCCAATCTCTTGTGATGATAACAATGCTTGTACTGCTGACTCATGTGGTCCAAAAGGTTGCGTTCATACTCCAATAGCATGTGATGATAAAAATGCCTGTACTGTAGACTCATGCTCAAACTCCACTGGTTGCTGCTTCACTCCACTTTCATGTGATGATAATAATCCATGTACCGTAGATTCATGTAACAATTCAACTGGTTGTTGCAATACTCCACTCAACTGTGATGATAATAATGCCTGTACTGCTGACTCTTGTGGACCAAAAGGTTGTGTAAATACCAAAATCACATGTAATGATAATAATGCCTGTACTGTAGATACCTGCTCAGAAAAAACTGGTTGCCGTTTCACTCCACTTTCATGTGATGATAATAATCCATGTACTGTAGATTCATGTTCAAACTCAACTGGTTGTTGCAATACCCCAATCTCATGTGATGATAATAACCCCTGTACAATTGACTCATGTGGTCCAAAAGGTTGTGTCCATATTGCAATGTCCTGTGATGATAATAATGCTTGTACTGTAGATTCATGCTCAAATTCAACTGGCTGTTGCCATACCCCACTTAGCTGTGATGATAATAATCCATGCACTGTCGACTCATGTTCAAATTCAACTGGCTGTTGCAATACTCCAATTTCTTGTGATGATAATAACAAATGTACTGCTGACTCTTGTGGACCAAAAGGTTGTGTAAATACTAAACTATCATGTGATGATAATAATCCATGTACTGTTGACTCTTGTAATCCAAAGACTGGTTGCGAAAATACCCCAATAGCCTGTGATGATAATAACAAATGTACTGCTGACTCCTGTGGACCAACTGGTTGTTGCTTCACACCAATTTCATGTGATGATAATAACCCATGCACCTTTGACTCCTGTTCAAACAAAACCGGATGTGTCAACACCCCAATTACCTGTGATGATAACAACGCCTGTACAAAAGATTCATGTGGTCCAAAAGGCTGTGTTTACGCCCCATTATCCTGCGACGATAACAATCCATGCACTTTAGATTCATGTAATAATAAGACCGGCTGTTGCAACACCCCACTCAATTGTGATGATAACAATCCATGTACTGCCGATTCTTGTGGTCCAAAAGGTTGTATTAATACCCCAATTACCTGTGATGATAACAATGCTTGTACCAAAGATTCTTGTGGTCCAAAAGGATGTATCTTTACTCAAATTTCTTGTGATGACAGCAACCCATGCACCATTGATACCTGTAACAATAGAACCGGTTGTTGCAACGAACAATTAAATTGTGATGATGGTGATATGTGTACATTTGACTCATGTGGTCCAAAAGGCTGCACTCATACCAAACTTAACTGCGATGATAACAATCCATGTACCTCTGATTCATGTGTTCCAGGTAAAGGTTGTGTAAATAAAGCAATAACATGCGACGCACCAAAAGATAAATGTTCAATCTCAACATGTGTTCCAGGTAAAGGCTGTGTAGTTTCTAAAATGGATTGTGATGATGGAAACCCATGTGTAAGTTTTATAATTTAAAATCTAAAATCTTAACGTTTTTATTTTATACTAATATGTTTATTAATATTAATCAGACTGATGATTCATGTGAAGTAGATTGTGATACCAATAAACCAAAATGCATTCATAAAGAAACAAGATGTTCAAAACCAAAAGATAAATGCTCAATTAACGAATGTAGCATCACTGACGGTAAATGTATTTCAAAACCATTAAACTGTTCTGATAATAATGCTTGTACCAAAGATTCATGTAAAGGAGATTGTGGTTGTACTTATGAAAAGATTAAATGTCCAGATGATGGTAACAAATGTACAGTATCAGGTTGTGACCCAGTAACTGGATGTTTCTCAAAACGTAAGTTTAATTATATTTTAATGATTATTTATTTTTATTTATATATTAACTAATTTTTTTTTAATAATATAGCAATATGTTGTGACGATAATAATCCATGTACAATTGATACCTGTGATCCAAAGACTGGTTGTTGTAATAAACCAATTAACTGTGATGATGGTGACTCCAAAACATTTGACTACTGTAGCCTTCTTACTGGTAAATGTGTAAATCAAAAAATTGGTGGTGGTTGCAAATCTGGAAAGTGTAACTAAAACGTCAGTTTAAAAGATTCTTTATTTATATTTATATAACAAAAAAAAAAAAAAAAAAAAAACAATATTTTAAATTAAAATACCTTTAAAATAAAACATTTAAATATTTAAATATTTTAATATTTAACATTATTAATTAAATCAATAACTCTTTTTTATTTTATATTATTTTCAAATAAAGTTTTTGGAATTGATTTTTGTTCGATATTAATAGTCTCCTCTTCCTCCTCTTCTTCTTCATCATCTAAATTTATTTCATCATCGTTTTTAATTATTTTATTATATTGAATAGGTTGTGATGGTTGTGGCTGTGGTTGTGGCTGTGGCTGTGGTTGTGATTGTGTTTGATTTGCTGCTATTGGGTGTTGTACTGGTTTATTTGCTTGAGATTTAGTATCGCCTATTTGTTCTTTATTATTTAGTTTATTTAATAATAATTGTGTTGGAGAAATTAAAAGAGCTTTATTTTGAACTGAACGACGAATTCTAAGCATTTCTTTAAATGTTTCTTCATTACCGTGAGCCTTTTCAAACTCACTCCAAGTTGTCCAAAAGGTAAGTGAGGTTCTTGGATCTGAAAATTCTGAACCATGAATATAAATTGAACGAGCACGATCTATTTCACCATACTTTCTTTCCATATCGGCAAATTTAAGACACATGTCACGAGCAAACTCATCTGGTAAATTTTCAATAGCTTTGGTAAATACCTCTCTAGTTTGATTGACACCAAAGAACTCTGAAGCACGATGAATATATAAGAGATACATTTTGTATTTATCTTCTGGGGCAACTGATCTTGATGCACGATCATAAACGGCCATTGAATGACGAGCTAAACCATATTGCTCTTCGAAATTTGCATACATTAAATAAAATATAATTGACTCCTTGGCTGGTACTTTTGATAAAACCTGTTCGAAAAGGTCTCTTGTACGCTCTAACTTCATTCCACCATATCTTTTAATAAATTTTGTTAAGTATGATATCCAAATATCATGAACGTGTGGGAATGGAAATAGTGATATACCTTGTTCGAAAGCTTTAAACATATCTTCGAAATATTTGTTATCCTCCAAATACCTTGTGAAATTTAAAATGATTTGTGGTGAAACAACTTTTAATTGAATCATCTTTTCATATATTGACTTTGTGCTGTGGAAAGTTCCAAATGATTCCTCTAAATCTACATAAAAACTCCATAATTTAATTGATTTATATAATTTTTTTTGAACTGGTTCATTTTCTGTAATAGTATACTGTTTTTTTGGTGAAACTGTTCCTCTTTTTAAAATATCGAGTGCTTTTTCGAAATTCCTGTAATATAAAATAAAAATAAAATTTTTAATTAATATTTAAATCGTTTTTTTTATATATAAAAAATAAAGATAACTTACTTTAATCTTAACTCCATTTCTGCATAGTCACAGTATAAAGAAGATAAGTCGTCAACAGTTTTAAAATTGACCTTTAATGAACTTTCAAAAATTAAACGAGCTTGAGATATTTTATTATTTGATTCATAGAAATGAGCAAATGATGAATAGATATTTGATAATTTTCCTTTGACATTTTGTGGATCGATTGTTTTAATAGCATCACTATAAGTTTCGACAATCATTTTAGCATTGAATACTGGTTCTGTATAAAGCTTAACTCTTTTTTGCCACTCCATAACATTATTTGGGTTTTGTTTTAATAAGACACTATTGAGTAATAAAGGTTGACGATTGATTAAAGATTCGTAACGCTCGACCATCATATCAAATTCTAAAATATTATCATCACTTGGATCGTCTTCTAATAATTCCTGCTTTGCTGTTAATAATGAATCTTCAAACTGAGTATATGATTCCCAAACAAAACTAAAGTCACGGGCTGTACTAACTGAATTTAATGCCTCCTCAAAAACATCTCTTGCCTTTTCAAACTGTGCCAATTGAATGTAATACTCTGCTAATGATGACCATAATTTACCAACTTGATCAGTGAACTTATTGATACCGCTTCTAATGATAGCATCGACTTTAATACCCTTAATATCTTTTGGATGTGATGAAAGTATGTCACAAAGTTGTAACCAAATATCATGCTTGGTTTTACCTTTAATTGATTTAAATTTGTGATCATCCAATACCTTGATTAATTGATTTACAACCTCTTGCCATTCTGAAATCTTTATTAAATAATCTATATACTCTTCAACTTTTTCTGGTTGGACCTTTAAATAACGTTTATAAACTCTAATACATGTTAATGGTGGTACTGTTTTTTTTGATATAAATTTAGTGTATAAATTCCAAATTCTATAATGTTGGGTAATTGGTAATGCTATTAATGCTCTGTCAAATGTTTTTCTAGTTTTTGTAATTTTTTCTTGACCAATTAAAAATTCGCAATATTCTAACCAAATTCTTGGCATCTAAATTAAAATTTTAAAAATATTAATATAATTGTATATTGATATATTATGTATAAATAATGACTATATATAATGATTTGTAAAGAATTTTATTTTATTATACTATTGTGAAATAACCCTAAATAAATTAAACTTACCTTATCTAAAAATACTAATGATCTTTCATATAAATTATTTACGGATTCATATGAGCTATCTAAAATACATTTTCCTCTAACAGCCAAAGTTCTTTCACGTAAATATTGATGCCATATCTTGTAACTTCTAGGTAATTCTCTAATTGCTCTTTCATAAATATAATTTCTTTCTTTTTGTGGTGATGCTTGTTTTGATTCTAAATATCTTAACCAACTATTTACTGATAATGGATTTTTTGATACATCCTCTTCATAAGGTATATCGTCAATGCTTGGTTTAACTATAAATTCCTCATCAACAACATTTAAATTCTTCATATCATTAATTAATGGCATGATAATAATAATTTGGTCTATAATTTAAAAATAAAAAAAATGAAATAAAAAAATTTAAAAAAAAATGAAATAAAAAAAAATTAAAAAAAAAAAGTAAAAAAAAAATAAAAAAAATAAAAAAGGAAGTGATATATTTGATGAATTTTTAGCAATAGTTAAATTTATCTCTTTTTTTCATTCTAAAAAAAGAAATTTAAATAATAAAAAAAATCACAAAAAAAATAAAAACAATAAAATAAAAAAATATATAAAAAAAAACATAAAAATATAAAAATATACGAAATATATGATCATAATGAAGAGATAAAACGATTTAATAAATTTTTGAATTTTTTTAAATAAACCTAAATTTCTCTTCCTATAATACCTATATTCATATCCTCTTTTTTTTTTCTTTTCTAAAAATAATAATAACCCTAAATTACATGTTTTTTTCCCTTTAAATTTATATTATTTTACTATTTATACTAATTTATTTATAAGGATTTTCTGACGTGACCGGCAGCTTTTTGGGCAACAGCTTTTTTGTGGGCGGCTCTGTTGGCAATGTTGACTAATTTCTTAACTTCACCTGAAACTTTTCTGTTGAGTTGACGTCTGGCGAGGGCAGATTTGAAACGTTCAAAGTCAGTTTGGTTGAGTTTGGTGGCTTTGGCAACAGTTTTTTTGACAACAGTGAGGGCAGCAACTTTGTTTTGGAGATCAGCAGCTTTGATGGCGGCATTTAAAGTGTTAATTCTGGCACCTCTTTGGATGTTAACTTTTAATGGAGTTAAGTTGATCCATTTTAAGTTGATGATGTGACGTTCGACACCATTGTGTGGACCAGCAACTAAAGCCTATTTTATAGAAAAAAAAAAAAACATTAATCCTCTATCCATACAAGTTTTGAGTGTATTATGTGTATTGAGTGTTTTTATGCCAATCCAAAAAGATAAATCATTAATCCAACATAATCCACCTTATCTTTGTTTATTTTCCAATAATCTTTGGATATATCTATTTTTTGAGATAGTTGATATAATTGATGTAATAATGTTTTGATTCATACTCTGTTTTGATCTAAGACATCAAGGATGATGGCTGTTTTGTTGATGTGTTGACCATAGTTGATGATGACAACTCTGCCAATTTCGACGAAGAGGGTGAACTTTGAAACAAACATTATTTATCTATTTGTTGGTGAGGTACGTTAACAGAAAAAAAAAAACTATGGTCAAAACTTTTTTTTTTTTCGCATGCGCTTGCGTTTTTTTTGACTATGAAAATTTTTATATGTAAAAATATTTTTTTAATTTTTTTAAAA